AATCCTTGGAAACGCACAGAAACGCACGACAGTTATCGACCCTACTACTACTACTACTACTACTACTACTACTACTACTACTACTACGACGCGACTGCCGTTACTACCACCACCACCACCACCACCACCACGACGACAACAACAACAACACCAGCACCACCATCAACAACAGCAACAGCCACCACTAGTAATTACTACTACTACTACTACTACTACCACCACTACTACTACTACTACTACTACTACTACTACGACTGCGACTACCGCTACTGCTAATGCTACTGCTACTACTACTACTACAACAACAACAACAACTACTACTACTACGACTACAACTACCGCTACTGCTAATGCTACTACTACTACTACGACGACGACGACGACTACGACGACGACTAGTACTACTGCTACTACTGCTGCTACTACTGCTAGTACTGCTACTACTGCTGCTGGAGCTGCTAGGAGTCTCCATCATCCACACCCATGCCCGGGCTCAGCCCGTGAACCCGAAAAGCTTGCAACAATGCTTCGTTAAGCACAACACGTAACGAGCGGCATTATCCTGCAGTTTCGCGCACCTGCAGCAAGTTCTCCTCAATGTTCAGGTACGACAATGGTGATATCATCACCAAAGCTGAGGTCATCAGGGGCTCGGGTTGGAGTTCACGGTAGTTTACGTGTTCCCTGTGTAATTTGGCACTATTTGAGGTTTTTTGTGTTCGTCTAGGTTGTTGCTATTTCTACAACAATCTTCACGATGCTTTGTTACTCGTAAGGATTTAGTGTGATGCGATTTTTTCAGGCGTTTTACAGTTTTGGCCCACCGGTGGAAAGCATGTCAAGCATGAGAACAGGGATTCTGCTTCAAGGGTTCGGGTTTGGGGACTGCAGCGTTTGGAGTCGATTTGGATTTAGGGGTTATCTTAGCAATGTAGCCACCACAAAGCCATATCTTACGTTCCAAAAACCTTGCTTCCCGATCAGACTCAAACCTTAAACCCCAGACCTAGCTTGTACTGTAGACATCGTAGACCATTTCCGCAACCCCCCATAAGTCCCAAACCTGCAACCCTTGAAACCTGCCTTAAACCCGCGGGTCCACTTTCACCAAGCCTCGAACGGTACACCCAGAAGGTTGGACCCCTCCACACCCTTAAGCCCTAAACCCCAATCTGTGAACTCCAATTTACGACAGCAGACAGGTTGCTTGGTTTCGATTGGCCGGTCCCATGGAGCGGCACATTGCGCTGGGCGGCAAAGCATCTTGGGCTCAGGATTTACAGCATTGCAGGGCTTCTTCGGAGTTTCGGTTTAGGATTTAGGGCCTCTAGGGTTTGGGCAGTTTATAACTTTTGGGTTTTGTTGCTTCTTCTAGGTCTAGGGTTAGTCGGGTTCCGGCTTTAACTGGGGTTCTGGGGCTCAGAATGTAGGGTTCTGCGCTTACGGTTGGGTTTGGTATCTATGGTTTGGGGCGAAGGCATCAGGAATCGGATTATATAAGGCCGTTGCAGACCAACCTAGGATTTGGATTCGGTCAGATGCGGAGTGTAGGCATGAGGATAGAGGTTTTAGACTTCACGGTTTAGCACTTCATGCTCTCGTGACTAAGTGGGTTTGGCTTGGTTGCGGACTGCGGGGTATGATATTTCGCAACTTTGCGGGCTTCGGGTGTCGCCCACTTGAATTGGGTCTAAGACTCACTTGTATTAGGTAAACCATGCCTGGGACCCACTAACTTCGCGTGCTCTCTGTCACACGCGCGCACACACACACACACATCTACATATATGCAGATACACACACGCACGTGCACATACACATACACACATACATGCACACACACATGTTTCTTCGTGGCATGCGCTCTTGCTAATGCTATTCTTGATGATGCAGATGATGTTCTACCGAACACGTAAGACATGCTTGCCCTGAACTACAACTGTTAATCGTACAAGGGTATGGTGGACGTGGGCTGAACCCCTGAACCCCAAGGCCTAGTGGACATGTACGTAGCGTTTATCAACCCTAAGCCCGTCCAGCAACAGCCCCCAAATCCAGACCACAAAATCCTAAACCCGATCTCAAGCCCTAACACTCTGAGACCTAAAACCCCAAACCCAAAAAACCCTAA